AATCGTTAGATATGCAAATAACAGCCCCACCATTGACTAGTATAACAACAGAGTCAAAAAGCCAAATGTCATCGTTCACACATGAAGTGAAGACATAAATTCTAAAACCCCAGTTCTCTCCTTTAAACCCCTCTTTGTACAGTGTATATCTTATTCATTCCCCCCTACTTCACAGTAGGAAGGAGGAAGTAGAAATGACGTCTCTCTTATCTTATGCACTAATGCACCTTTCTCCTCAAAATGAAGAAAACAATATAAATTACAAAACAGTTAAAGAAATACATAAAAAGTTTACAAAAAAATATAGAAAATCATAAAATTTCTATACCATAAAATGTAATATTGTTTTTCATAATTATGGTCAAAACACCTTGAATACCAACTACTAGTGACACGTTTAGTGTCTAATAACTTATCATATGTCATAAAATGGGTTGATTTTTTTTTTTTGGATTAGTCATAAAATAGGATGATTGGTACCAATTATCATGCACCTACCCTTAAGGCTTATATATGTTTGGTTTCATAAAAAATAAGTGAGAAAGTTTTGGGAAAGTTCTTAACAAAAGTTGTACAATTCCTCAAGAACATTCCTTCAACTTTCTCCTTCTCTCTTATTTTCCACCAAACCAAACATACCCCAATGGTAATTAGGCTTCAATCAAGTCCTAAAAATGCTCTCATAATTGTGTTTCTTGTGCAAAATATGTAAGTAATGCAGAATGGTTCTATCAGAGAAACTCATTCAAAGTTCTAAAATTAATCATCATGAGTCATGTTATCACTTTGAATTTGACTTTTCGAATCTGAGAGTGGCCAGTTTGACCAAAAACAGTGTCAGAGGCCAAGTCTGTATCCAGTGCACCCCTCCCATGACCCCAAGTGGTTGAGACCAACATTAGGTCTCTAGATTTTAGACCTATTGGAAGTAGAATAAGCATTATATGCAAATGGTCTCTGAATATATTCCCTTACAGTAACCAAGATGGTCAAAAGGAGTTTCATAGTTCCAAAGTAGTTGCATGGAAAAGCCTAGGCATTGCCTTGGAGGAAAGAGGAGAGGAAGAAAGGTCTTACATGAAGATAAGAACTTGTTTGGTAGGCAAGGATGACTTGCCTGTGTCCTCCCAATGGTCCATACAATTGTTTGTTGGACCCACACTTTATGCATATGGAACACATATATACTGATCATGTGCTTACTCCATATATATAAGCTTACCAAGTGTGCCTATGGGATCCAAATTGCAGAGTGTAGTTTTCTGAAATTTTTTTGTCCTACAAGTGGTGGGACTGTTACCTAGTCCTCTTGCATTCCAGAATAACATATTCATATCAGAGAGATTTAGGGGGCGTTCTTTTTTTGGATTTTGAGGGGGGAAAGTTGGTCAATGGGATTTTGGTTTCCATTGACCAAGAATCCTATGTTCATTTTTCAGATTAATGTGGGGACCAGGGAAAGTTTATTTTCCTGGGTACCCATCTTCTAGGTGGGTAAATAACTTTCCCACCTAGGAGGAAAGTTGCTAACACTTGAATGGGACAAAAATGCCCCTTTTAATAATGGATTTTTATGACTAAAATGGCCATTACTTTATTTACCTGAGAAATAAAAGAACATGGGTAAATGCACTTACCCGGGTAAGTGTTTCCTAGAAAAACTTACCCAGATAATTGTATTTACCCAGGTAAGTAACTTACTAAAAAACGAGCGGGTCTTTAGTGAGACGATGAGAAGTTGTAGCTGGTTGTTTGTCTTATTAGAGTATTGTCTCTGTTTCCCGCCTTGTTTCCAATATCCCCATATTGGAAACAAGTTTTTTATGTTTCTCTCTCCTCACCCTATTCTTTATCTCTCTGGTTCTCTCTCCTTTGTCTGCATTTGGAAGTGATGTAAATCAAGAACCAATGTAAAATTTACATCGGTTCGGTTTTGTAGGCATTTGGAAGGAGCGTGTAATTATGATCGACATAAAACTCTACTCCTATTTAGATTTATTGGCGTTTGGATGGAGTGGAGTTTTACATCGTGAATATCGTGAATCAATGTAAAACTTTACCTCATCAAGCATAAAGTTTTACATCGATAGTCAAGGTAAATACTACATCAATTTTATCGATGTAAAACGTCATCAATATACTTTTACATTGATGACATTTTACACCAGATCCAAATGAAGCCTTTTTGTCATTTCTCTCTCCACTTGTTTTTTGGTTTAAAATCCTTTTGGTTAAGGGAAAGGAAATTCAAGCGCCTGTGGTGTTGTGGTATTGTCCGAGATGGAAATTAATCGTGTAATTGATGCTTTCTACAATCTTTATTGCATAAATACCAATCTTATGGTGGAGGCCATAGCACTTCTTGATGGTTTAAACTTTAAATCTAGTCAAGGCCTTGGGTCTTTCAATTGTTATGGTCTCAAGACAGATTCTCAAATTTTGCAAAACATAGTGAAGGACTTATCTTCCCTAGTGTGGAGATTGTGGTATTGAAAGGGCACATTACTGACTATTTTAGAGCATATATCAAGAGATGGAAATTACTCATGTTTTTAGAGAGGCAAACCAAATAGATAACATGCTTGATAAGCTTGGTTGTGACTTTTACAATAGTTATGAGGATTGTTGGGAAATGGGGTCACTGAAACTTGGAGGAGAAGCTTTGAGGCGTGTTTGAAGATATTGTCTTTAGAATGTTATTTGCCCCACTCAGTTTCATTGAATTTGTTGTTGGTTTCTCCTTAAATAATTTCTTAAGAGTCATAGAGCAGAGGTAGGTGCTGGTTCAGAAAAGACTCATTGAACAGTCACAATTTCAAGGTAGTTAATAGTTAATGATTATTAACTTTGAATGGTACCTCTTGATCACACTTAATCGAATCATGATCGTTGATCTCATCAACAGTCAGCTTCGAATCAAAAGTCAAAGCCACCATTCGTGCGAAGTGTGAGCAAAGTGCACCTCTAAAGCGCCTCATTGTGCCCGCACACATGCGCACAAATGTATTGCACGGTAGCAAGCCTCCATACTCTCCTCTTTATATATAAGCAGTGTAAATCAGTTTCTATTAAAAAACTTAAAACAATTCTTGTAATTTTCCAATGTGGGACAAGTTAAAAACTGGTTTTAGTAAAAGAAAAAGCTATTTTCAAGACATGTGTGCAGGTGTATTTTTATTTTTATTTTTCATGTAATTGACCAATCAAACCCCATTGAATTTAATCTCTAATAAAATTAAAATCCAACAAGGATCTCTGCTACCACGTTCAGCAACTAATTCACAGCGATGGAAGGGGTATTTTTTCTCATGCATCAATAAGATTTGGTGGACACACCTCTATCGGGAGTAAATTTTGAGGGTTAAAAATGTGAGAAGGTATTTTTTTCATATAGCTGAAACAATTCAATACCCATAACCCACCCTAACCCAATCTTATTTTTTTTTACTTGACCGAATGGATAACTTGACCCGTAAATGGGCTTGGGTGGGGTACAAGTGGGTACTGGGTAGATTATATGGATCAAGTGGGTTGGGTCAGAAATTGCCACCCAAGCTGTGGCAAAATATCTTCCTCACCAATTTGTATTGATTACTCCCAAAAGTTTCACTTACAAACAACAATGATACAAAACACAACCATAGTAATTGATTTTAGTTTCAGAAAATAAGGCAAACCCAATAGACCTAGTTGGTGTAAAGCTAAGCCCCCCATCCCATATCATTCATTATGTTTACATGAAAATTAAGATTAAATTCGGTAGAAGAGTAAAATACCTCTTTTTGAGATTTTGGGTTTCTTTCTTTGAAAGAAATTCTCCACTAGCCATGTCTCTTCAAAGAGGTAAAGGTTTAGCCGTTTAGTCTCCATTTGTTTGCAGTGTAATTTCTTTTGCATCTGAGAGTGCAAATGAGAAGATTAATGCAATTTCTGGTTCCCATTTGTTTCGGGTTTTAATTGATTTTGCTTCAGGTTTTGTTTTACTTTATTTTCAACGCAAACAAGAAAAATAAGGCAAAGGCTGAAACAGAGAACTTACACTCAAAACATTTGCACTCTCATACTTTTGTACCAGTACAAATAAAACTGCACTCCAAACATACCAGGCCTTTAAATTCAAATTAATCCAATACAAGCTGCTTGACTAAGGTAAATGTGTCACTAAGAAATCTCATTCTTTATATACTTATTAATGCAAATAAGTTATCTCTCCATAATTATATAAATAATATGGTTTATATATTCCAGATTCTAATGCAAATAAATAAAATTATGCAATTTTTTGGCCAATTCCATTCAGCCAAGTGATATTCTATTTTTTTTTTTTTAAGATTTCTTACCCTTGCCTCATTTCCAAAATAATCAATGAACATTATAAAAAAGTACATCAAACAAAGCCTAAAAATAATTTTATTGAAGTATTTACATTTTTTAATTCATAATTTTGAATAATATATGTTTTTCTATAATCTATTCAATTTATTAATGATGAATTATTCAAGTAGATTTTTATGTAAATGATATCTCCAAACCCTAATCTCTAGATGTGAATCAAAATGCGTGTGTAAATATTCTTCCAACTGTTTAGATCTTATTTCCCTTTTTAAATTTTTTGGACTTAATAATTCCTATTTTATTAGATTTTGACCCAATGCCCTAGATAAAAATAAAAAAATCCAAAAAAAAAGCATTCCAACGAGAAAATACAAAAAGAAAAATAAAGGCAAATATCTGTTTTCTTCACTATCCAAAAGTAACTAGCAGCTTACTAATATTTTAATATTATAAATATAAATAAAATTAAAGATGCTCTTTTCTTTTTGGGCTTGGGCCCACCTCCTCTTGTTGTGTAGAGATTAGAGAGTTTGAAAAATGGGAGAAACTGAGCCTAGATATCCAAGTGCTACCTTACTTGAAAATGGGCCTATTCACTCGTAGGCCCAGTCCATCTTAAGTGCAAGCAGTTATTTTCCCGCCAGAAGTTGTCTGTCTCTGAATCTGAGTATTCCCGGTGTCGAGCCCCTCCGTCTGGGATGGCAATGGCGCTTTCGTCTGCTTTTCAAGAAAGGCTCCAACAGATGGAAGAAACTAGAAACCAACGCCTCTCTCTTCTTCAGGTTTAGGACCTCTCCCTCACCTTCGTTCTCTCCCGTTATGAAAACCCTAACTTTGCCTCCTTTCTTCTTCTTCGCCTCAGGCTGAGAAAGAACTTCAAAGCAAGAAATCTCTTCTGTTGACAACGAAGATCCAGAAGATCAGATCCATGGAGCAACGGTGTCTCGTCCTTGAGCAGAAGAACGCGGTGCTGAACTTAAAGATCTTAGCTCACAAGACTGAGATAGAGACGCTCGAGGCCAAATACCTGGTTGCAGCGCAGCAATTCAGGGAGTTGAAGAGTGAGGTGGAGGAGATTGAGGAATCCGAGAAGCAGAAGGATAGGTTTTATGAGTCAAAGAGGTATGAAATGGAGGAGTTCAGGAGACAGGTGGAAAGGAGAGTTTTGGCTTCTCGTCTGCAAGTTCAGGAGATGAGAAACAGCTTAGAAGAGGTGAGGGGAACTGTGGTTGTAATTCTACATTAATCGATTTTTATTTCGACATTGATTGCTAATTCTCGTTCGGCATTACAAGAAATCAGATACTTGTAATGGAAACTAATTGATTTCTTCTGTACTTGATGCATCAAATACTTGTAATGGAAACTAATTGCTAGAATGGAAGGATGCAAACCAGGCTAGATGATTATTTGAAAAAAAAAAATATTGGTCTTCATTAGGTTCTTTTTTGAACCTGATCCTGGCAATGCTTGCACATTGCCCCAAGATCCTTTTTTGAACATGATCCTGACAATGATGGAGGATGATTTGGCCCAACCTCGTAGCACGGGGACACGTGTGCATGACCTGGTCCAATGAACAGCTCAGCCTGACAGCATGACCGCGACTCGACGGGAGAGACACGCCGAGTCCAACGCTGGCCACTCGACGGTCTAAGCAACTTGCTGGGGACTAACACCTGGCCAACCTCAACTCCCATCAAGTGTGGGAGGTCCCGAGCTCCTCCCAGGACCCGAGCTCCCCCTAAGGGGCTCTGAGCTCTCCTTTCCTAAGATGGGAGCACCCTAGTTCTTGGCTAAGTGTCCCGAGGGAGAAGCACCTCGGAGCAGCACCGCCTCCAGCGCAGGCACCTCGACACCTCGATATCGAGACAAACCTGCCCCAGGTAGTCCGGCGCACAGTAGCTCGGTAGGCTGTAGGGAGGCCTGCCTGAGATCCGTACCTTCCGGACCCGGTGGCAGGGCTCTGTCCCCTTGCCAGGCGGCGCTCTGTTTGCCATCTCCGGAAAGCATAACACGCCTGTCGAGTCCGTACCTGGCGATGGCAGCCTATAGCAGCAACCTGCGCCTGCCACACTTGCCCTGACAGTAACGACTAGGGCGGTGGCAGTTATGCCAGGTATGACCAAGCCCCGACATAAAAGAACTCTAACTCTCACGGGGAAAAGGTATTGAAACTTAAGCACTTTCAGCACTCTGACTCTCTACTCTTTCTTTGAGATTTTCCCCAGTTCTAACTTAGCCATCGGAGTGTTCTCACCGGGATAACTCCTCGGGAACCCTTCACCTTCTCCTTCCTCTCAGGTGTCGTTCGTTCCAGTCAGAAGCCAAATCACAGCCATCTAGGAGTGCCCAGATCGTGCAACATCATTTGGCGCCGTCTGTGGGAAACGCTTCAAAAAGCCTCCCTTTGATCTCTGCGAAACTTCCTTCTTTTACTCACCAACATCACCGACACCCATGGCTTCTTCTAGCAACTCCGAACGCCGGAACACCCTAGAGGAGCAACTCTAACTGCCCGCCGTTTGCATCGGGCAGTTCACCGTCCCCCTCTCTGCGGACGAGGTTCCTAGCCTGAACGTGCCTGCAACGGTGGCACCCGTAACTGTCCTGCTGCCCCCTGCAGTCGGGACGACCTCCG